GCTACTAGGAGCAAGGACGCTACTAGGGGCTCCTGGCCGTACTACTAGGAGCCTTCTTGCTTCTAGTAGCAAGAAGTGGAAAAATGCATCAACTTGCAACGGGATGGCAGCTCCGGCCTTGGGCGTCATGAAGCCCCTGAAGAGTTGGAGGGAAAGAGGAAAGAGTTGCGGGGCCAAGGAATAACTTGATTAGAAACGTTCTGCTGTAACAGTTGTAACTCTTCTTTTGATCAGTAACTTTTGCTTTTGCTCGTCCATCATGAAGGTTGCACATGTGCTTCGTGAACATGTAATCTGCTTGTCCCCGTTGCTTAGAGGATATGTATATACCTGTACACCACGACACCAAGTCAAACTGAAGGGTCTGAGGTAGCCCTCAGACGGAGACCGAACTATGGCTGGGAAGTTCACCTTGCTACCATCGTCTTTGATCAACGGCGACCTTTCAAGCAGGCCACCTTTCTTTTCTCCATTCGACGTTCCTATCACAAAGGGTCCGGGAGGGTCGTCTTCAATGGAACCAATTGTGTTCAAGTTAAGCAGGATACTGGACATGTTACTGCTTCCTTGTAGGGCCAGGTGTGGGTTGCGTGATCGTGGGGCCGCCTGTGCACAGTCATTCTGTCCAGCCTGTCCCATCAAACACCACCCTTGCCTCGGCATCTCAGTGCTGGAGCTACTCATGGCGCAGAGGAGCTTCGCACGGCTGCAACATCGGTGGTTTCTTGCGGGTTTCTTCTTGCATGTCTTCAATTGGTTAGCTCCACCTGGCTCAAAGAGGCAGCTACCCTGCCCAGTTGGGAGATAGCCTCAGAAACATGAGTGTCTGGTGGTCTTCATTCCACATGACCCTTGAAAGCCAATCATGGTCGACCTACAGGAATCACTAATTATCCGAATGAAGAAATATGAAAATACTAGAAAGTCTCGTAGAGGAGAGTAGTCTTTCAGCCATCAGCTTGCTTGCAGGTTCTATGTTGGTCTGCGGGAATGCACTTGGGGTCTGATCAGACAATCTGATCAATCTCTAAGTCCAGCTTGAGCTGCTTCATAAACACTTCATCAAGATTGGAGGAGGTTCAGTTCCTGCCAAAGGAGCGGCCAGGTCGCTGGCCGTTGTGGCCCTGGATCGTTGCCCCTAAGTTGTTGGGCAAGCAAAGAGGCCCAAAGAGGCCCCTTAGCTTCTCTAAGGCGGTTGTTGATTTTTGGACATGCCTTGGGTGGAACTTTGATTGAAACATGCACTCACCTCGACCTTCAGATGGTACAAAAGTTCAAGGGAAAAAAGAAAAGGGAGACGGTAGTGAAGTGCTTGTAGTGACCAGAGCAAGACCACACTTTCAGCTGGAGTGTTCTCAGGTGAATCTCCAGTATGTAACCTCCTTATATAACCATGTGCCGATGCTCATCTACGTGGTCCAATTATGGGGGCCTCCAATGGTCTTGCAGATCGGATCAGTGGAATCCTATATAAGTTATGCAATAACAGCTCTTGAGATAAACATGAGGGACACCGTGATCTTCATCAGAAGCCTAATCCCCAACAATTTCTGCCTGTCATAATGAGGCATCATCATATCACTTGCTATCAAACTCTTGCCTGACTCAACATCATCAGCTTTTATTCCCCTTTCAACTATAGTAGCCATAGTGAGCCATGGTATTGTTGTCACGTATAGTTTATTCAAGTTGCTCGTCCTGTAGGCCGCTTGCTACAAGCTTCCAGGAGGCAGCCTGATTTCTTCTCCCTTGAGGAAAGGCGAAGATCTAGCACCGCCAGCTTGTTTGAAGCTAGCGAGTGAGACAAATCAATCTAAATACTAGAACAGGGCGGTTGAGACCATGGCAGCCTTTTGTACATATTCCTTCATACACATTCTTCAATGGCCTCATTCCATATCATTATATCATTCCTGTATGATTGAACTTAATGATCAAAGACAAGCATGAGCAGCATGAATCACTGTGATGTCCCTTACCGTAGCTGCTTCATTGGCAAATCTTCACAATACCCTGAGAAACAAGATATACAGTCTACCTGCCTGTTCTCAAATTTTGGGGGAGTTTGTATCATCTTGCACATCACATCTGCACAGTACACGAGTTAATTGATATTCTGGGTAAGTGCCGTCTGCAAGGTTCATTTAATCTATTGGTGTTCTTGGGCAGCATCCATGCTATGCGCCATTTAAGTATCCTACTTCGACACTCTGGAAGACACATTGGAAGGTACACCATCCAAGATCTCAACCAGCCAACTTTGATTTAGGCCATGTCCTGACACTTTTCTGGTTGCTCATTGGTTGCTCTTGGCGAAGGGAGAAGCATCCTGTGTTCCCGCACGAGAAAAAATAGCAGAAAGCATATGTCCACTTGATTCACTGCCAGGGGGGTAGGTCTTGACATTGACATGGAAGTGGAAAACGACCTGTGTATTCTACTAGGAACAAAGAAGCTACTAGGGGCTGCTAGCATCGCTACTAGGAGCAAGGACGCTACTAGGGGCTCCTGGCCTTACTAATTACTAGTAACAAGAAGCTATTAGAACCAATAGAATGTTTGTTGGGAAAAAATGGTCCTCCAGGGGCCTATTGTCCACTTCCATTATCTAATGGCTTCGTCAATCTACATAACGGTTGGACACTGCAACAAAGATCCCATCCACCTTTGGCAGCACCACCAAACCGTTGGCTTCTACATGGACCGTTGGAGTCTTTCCGGTAACACCACTGTCACATTATCTTCTTTGTCACGTAAACGGTCGGTTCCTATATAGTCCTGTCCAAATCGTTCCAGGCTTGCAGCTTGAGGTGTCATAAATCAATATACTCTGCTAGGACAAGTACCGCAAAAGGAATTTATCATCGCAGAGGAAAAAGTGCTCCAAAGTGACCGCCCGTGTCTCCTTTTGAGGAGGGTAGAACAATGAAATACCATGAAATACCCATCACATCACAGTGACAATAATAGCTCAAAACACAAACCAACTCGCTTACAACCACACTCACCATCCATCCCGACCACACATTCACCACAACGGGTGCCTCCAGTCAAGCCACACCTCTCCTCACACCCTCAGAGGTGAACCAGACCTTGGTGGACAACTGAAGCCATAGTGGCCTGTTGACATGATATGATTAGGCAGTCTTCAAAGTATGTGGATTTTGAATGTTCACCCATCAACTGATGACTGATGCAAGGCTGAGTATATCGATCCAGTTGAGCCGTCTCAATTGGAGATCATGCAATCCAAAGAGTCTCACTGAGGTTTCCTGTTCATGCTGCTACCCACTCTGTCGAAAAGATTGTGAGGAGAACAGGCCTCTAGTCCACACTACACCGAATAACCGAATATGTCCTAAATATAGACATACGGCCAGGAGCCCTTGGTAGCGTCCTTGTTCCTAGTAGCGATGCCAGGAGCCCCTATAGTAGCGTCCTTGTTCCTAGTAGCGATGCCAGGAGCCCCTAGTAGCGTCCTTGTTCCTAGTAGCGATGCCAGGAGCCCCTATAGTAGCGTCCTTGTTCCTAGTAGCGATGCCAGGAGCCCCTAGTAGCGTCCTTGTTCCTAGTACCGATGCCAGGAGCCCCTAGTAGCTTCGTTGTTCCTAGTAGCGATGCCAGGAGCCCCTAGTAGCGTCCTTGTTCCTAGTAGCGATGCCAGGAGCCCCTAGTAGCGTCCTTGTTCCTAGTAGCGATGCCAGGAGCCCCTAGTAGCGTCCTTGTTCCTAGTGTAGCGATGCCAGGAGCCAGTAGTAGCGTCCTTGTTCCTAGTAGCGATGCCAGGAGCCAGTAGTAGCGTCCTTGTTCCTAGTATAGCCATGCCAGGAGCCCCTAGTAGCGTCCTTGTTCCTAGTAGCGGTGCCAGGAGCCCCTAGTAGCGTCCTTGTTCCTAGTCGCGATGCCAAGAGCCCCTAATAGCATCTTTGTTCCTAGTAGCGATGCCAGGAGCCCCTAGTAGCGTCCTTGTTCCTAGTAGCGATGCCAGGAGACCCTAGTAGCGTCCTTGTTCCTATAGTAGCGATGCCAGGAGCCCCTAGTAGCGTCCTTGTTCCTAGTAGCGATGCCAGGAGCCCCTAGTAGCGTCCTCGTTCCTAGTAGCGATGCC